TTTTTTTGGTCCCTATGAGGCAACATGATCATAAATCATGCAGAATGAAATTTTTTTTAAATCTAAAAATGCAGAAAGTTTTCTGTGTTGGGTAGGTTTAGGGTTAGATTTTGTGCATGTGGATTTTGGTAAATCTGAGTACCGTGTGAGACTGTCTCACTCAGACATTGTGATCTCTTTTCTAACTCTAGACATTTGACTATTTGTGTTTTTTCTTTTTTTTTCCGGGAAAACATCTGAGAAGCAGGGGAGAGCAGCAAAACATTTCCATTGTCCAGCATCTCGTTATTTTAAAATGGGTTTGCATTGCAACAATCACAATCTACCAAATGTATACCGTCCTTTCACTGGAAATCCAAGTCGTTTTATATTTTCAAAGTAGGCCTATGTAACTCAACTCAGACAGAAACAGTTGCAAGCGCATTTGTCGACCATCGATTGCTCTGTGATCGACTGTCATGTCTTCGTTCACACGCATTGGGAACCACATGGTGCCAAAGGGGCTCCATACAGAGTGAAGTTCGCCAGTAATCACATGTGTTTTCTTAATAGTGACAGTCTATTAAGATAAAATGTCGCAGGTACAGGCCCGGTTCTTCACCGAAAACAAAAAGTGAGTATATTTGATGTGCATAATACAAACAGCTGAAACGTTTAGCTTAGCTAGATATGAGCTATCCAGCTGATTTTGCTTAGTAGTATTCATAGTGTTTGTTTATATAGTGGAAGTCGTTTCTTTATAAGCTGTGCTCAAAATGATGTGGGTATTTAACAGTTTTTAATATAAGCAGATGTAGGCTGTGTTTGTACGAGATGTAAGATGTTCTCCTCATGCTCTTCTCTGTAGGTATCTAATAGATGATGTTCCATTCTCCATCCCTGCTGCCTCGGAGGTGACTGGCCTCAGTGGTGTCATCAACAAACTGCTGGAAGCTAAGAATGGTCAGCTTGTTTACCATTCATTCTTTTTGATCACGTGCTTTCACCTTGTTATGTTGCAGCATACTTGCCTACCATAACACTTACTAAAAATAATTTTCAAAACATTGTGTTACTCCACAATGTTCAGCAATTGATATAAGGATACAGAAACGTCCTATCTTAATTCTTGACTTTCTCATTTCCTCAATGACCATGGCCACTAAACATATAGGATGGGTTGGGATTTGAAGTTAGGATGTTTCTGTAATACAGCCCCAGATTCGGACTTTTGGAGCGGCTGCGCTTGATCATATTTTCCTTCTATTTGTCATTTAATTAAATTCACATCACTCATGTCTCTTTTTACAGATGGACACAAACATGTTGAGTTTGATTTCCTGGTTCAAGGTCAGTTTCTCCGCACTTCACTGGCCAGTCGCATGGAGTCAGAGAACATCTCAACGGTATGGAAATGCTTTTAATGTAGTCTCGCTAGCACACATCTATGGACTGCCTACAGTCTGTTCATTGACATATTATGCGCACAACAGTTACAACCTCCAATCAGATTGCTTGACAGTAACATATTGTTTCAGTCAGACTATTTAAGACTGAATTTAAAGGATTAGTTAAACCAAAAATTTTAATTATGTCATCATTTACTCACCCCCTTGTTGTTCAAATCTGTAAGACTTCTGTTTATCTTTGGAACTCAAATGAAATT